GTTTGATACACGTCACATATTTCAAATCCCACTGTCATGTTAATACGTTTACTTCCTTAAATTAAGAATGTCAGAATCTCCAATTAACAGGCCCGTAGCAAAAGTTAAAAGTTTCACAAATCGAATCGTTTCTACCTTTTGGACCGCAAAATCAAAGAACTTTATTGACAGCATTTAAAGCTGACTTCGTTAAACATTCTGTTATCTATATTCTTCAAAAATGTAAACATTGTGAAACTTTGGAATCCCATGGGGCGTAACTCAAAGAAAACACGTTAAATGTAATCGGTATATTTGTTAACCAGGTACAGGGCTACCTCTTGAATTGATATAGATAATAAATCGAAAAATAAAGAAATATAAGTTGATTGATTATTGGCTCTTACAAAAGGGTAAACAATCAAGGAACATGATTTAATTAAGTAACCACACATCACTGAGTTTATATCTTCATTCTTTCTTGTAAAAATCGCTTTGATTGTGGCTATATAAAATAGGGAAGTAATATTTCACTGTACAACGAGCTCAAAAAGCTCGAGAACCAGCAATAAGATGGAAATAACCGGCAGAAACTTTAACCATCCACTGGCTCGCTAGTCGCTACCCCAGGTCGGTCAGTAGCCGGGTAGCCCATCAATGGAACCCGTTAGGCTCGCCCCTACCTCTCGCCACAAAAGAGACAAGAATTTTGCCTTGTTCCACACGCCTTTGATTGTTTGAGGCGGGAAAACTATTTGTGTGCTACGGCCCGCGCAACACAGGATATTGTTTTCGTATTAGTTGGCCTTTTTCCAAGATGACCGTGACCGTTAACTTATTTTATGGACTCCCTTGGAGAATAATTCAAAACTACAAAGAACATTTCTAATCCCACAGTATACTAGCTATTTAAATTATAAACACTTTGGTGTTTGAAAAATATTTTTGGATGATAAATTTTGCAGCTTTTTGAAATCATCCAAGATGGCCGCTTGCCTCCAAGGACTCAACAATAGGCCTAATAGTGCGACTATAAAGCAATAACTTCCCACCTTACGCTTGCGAATTAGTACGGTACATATTTGTATCCACAGTTGCCAGGACGACTATTAAGACGACCAAAGATTACATTGACATTTAGGTATTTAATCTGTAGAATAGTAATTGTTAAGTAATCTGGAAGACAACTAATTAAAATGAAGTGCGAAAGATGGGTTATGAGAGTGCTCAATGCCTGAAGCATAATCCATTTGTTTGAGGTGCGGATTTTCAAGCTTGTAGAACAAATAAATATCACAAAGTAGAAGGGCAGGGGTGAAAGTGACTGAAGTGACGGGATACCCGGGTGGATTTTCAGTGACTGGATTCCAGTGGTATGCGGTAAAATATATAGTGACTGGCTTAGCAGCACAAATTTTACGTGACTGGCTTTCCCATGCAAATGCGGTGGTGACTGCATTAGCATAGCATTTTTTACGTAATTATATTTTAGTATTTTTAAGAAAAAAAGAGATATATACGTTCAGATATGTCTAGGCTTAAGATATTTACCAACATATATTATATATATATCATAGTCTTGAAATATATTGGGGGGTGCAACTGACTGACTTCCAGTGTGTATTTTATGTGACTGGCTTCCCGGGCGCGGCCGTGTATATATATATATATATATATATATATGAATTTGAACGGATGGTGTTTTTGGCCTCTGGGGACCTCAAAACGAAAAACTAAATCGGTCCCGGGTGCAGATCTTACCATGAGACCTACGGTAATAGCTTATTCCCTATATGGCAAATTCGCTAAAAAACAGCAATAAAACATCAACAATAATACATGAAACTCTCAATAAACTTTTTAAATAATTTAGTTACCAATCTGGCCTACTAACTTACAATAATTAATTTTGAATTATTCAATTTAGGCTAATTTCAGTTAAAGTAAATTCAATTTTTATTCTTCAGGAAAATATGAATATTAAGTTATAAAATTGTAACAATAAATATATATATAACTCCTTCATCTAGAATTGGTAACTTGACTAATTTAGGGGCCCCAAAAATTGAATTTAATAGAATATTTAATAAAATAATAACCACACTTGTAATCTACGCATAGTCTGACTCCTCCATCTGGCTTTGGGATAACAACCAATGGTGACCTCCAATCACTTGATGCGACTGGAGTTGTGATTCCTTGAGATTCGAGGGTTGTAAGTTCCTTTTCTACTCTCTCTCGTAATGCGAAAGGGACATCACGTTCCCTAGTAAATACTGGTTTTGCATTATCTCTGAGGAGTTTGACTTCAACATTGGGAACACATCCGATTCTTTCTTCAAAAATTGCTGAGTATTTTTTGAATATATCCTCTAGAGACGGTACTAAATTAACATCAACTGTATTAATCGGTGATTGCTTTCTGTTGTCAGATGACTTGAGTGGAATATTATAACCATTCAGGTTAACTTTCAGGACTGTGACAAAATCAGAGATAGATTGATGCAAGTGTTGTGAAACACTGAGGAAATAGTGTTGTGCAACAATATGAGATACTGTAGGTGACAACATCACTGTGAAATGTTCGATTAATTTTGAAAAATTAAGGTCTTTTACAGGATTGTCTGGGCCTAAAAGAGTTGTCAGATTATTGTAATGCTCCTTACCAATAGATGAGCACAGGAGTTGAGCTTTCATCTTGTCTTCTTTAATGTTTAAACTTCAAATTTCAATAATTTTCAAAACATTCCAAATATGATTTGAATTTATCATTATTTGGATCAAAATGTTCAAAAGGATTGATCTGAGGAGTTGAAGTTTTATTACCTAGAGCTGCAGCCAAAACATTCATGAGTCTTTCTAATTGTTCTTAATTCATTTTAAGTTGAAATGTTTAACAAAATAAAATATCTTGAAAATAATAGAATAAAACAAGAATTGATAATAGTTTTTTACCAAATCGTCGCCAACTGAGATGACTCGAGTGGAAATATTAGAATATAAAAAGACAGAGTGTTGAAAATAAAAGTAACTGTGTTATATTAAAAATCAAAATAGAAAAGTAATACCCCCGCCGCAGCAAACCTGCAGACTAAGCGAATTTCCATTTGACTGATTGGATTTACACTGAAATGTCTACTTAAAAATATAACATTTATTCTTGATTTAAATAGAATTAGTTTAACAAGTACTTAGGTTTGCTGCATCAGGGAGGGTAAAACTTTTTTTTTTGTAAAATGTGAATAGGTAGTGAGAAATAAAAACATTTTCCAAATTTGATCAAAATATGTTCACAAACAAGCAAACTACAACAGTTTACTTATTCTCCATAAGAATAACATGGGAATTTTAAATTTACAATTTTTTGGAATTTTCTCCGTAATTATTAGATGCATAATAAGGCTTCAATATACTAAATTATTTGTTTTTTTAAGCTCTACAAAATGGTTTGGAAAGAAATTGCTAAATTTTATGTTTTTTGGGTCAAAAATAGGAAAAACCAATTTTTACCCCATAAAACCCCCCGTAAACCCCCGTTCCCATGGTCCGATCATGCTGGATCGCGAACTCGTTCGAATAAACGTACGTTTACACGTTTGTACCAAATTTCATCCAAATCGGATCATTTTTGCTCGAGTTATCGTGCTGACGGACACATATATATATATATATATATGTGAATTTGAACGGATGGTGTTTTTGGCCTCTAGGGACCTCAAAACGAAAAAAAAAATCGGTCCCGCGTCCAGGTATTACCATGAGTACTACGGTAATAGCTTATTCCCTATATGGGAAATTCGCTAAAAAGCATTTGATAATTAAAATTTTGGTTGCTATGGTAACAACTGATTCATATGTTCATAACAATGTGTTTAACTGATGTACTGACTTAAGACCATATGTGTATGTGAATCAATGATTACCAGTTATTTTGCATTTGTTTTGTCTGTATTAGTTTTTCTGTTTACATTAAAGTATGAGTTTGATTCAACTGAACTAATTTACTTGTTATGTGAAAATGTATCAGTAATAAAGATCAATGACATAAATATCATGATTGCGCAATGTTGTATTTTGATGTCAAAATGCAAATCATGACATTAATTTGAATATCAATGCAAAATACTTGTGGTTAATTCAAATTGTATTTTTGATGATTCAAAGTTTCTACACGTAAAAATAAAATCTGAAGTCAAACCGGGCTAAGGATTTCCGAAATACAACTTTGTATCACTGCCCTGCTATTAGAATCCCCGGCCAAGCCAGCCCTCTAGGGAAGTGGTGCAAGTCTATAGCCTCAAGGTTGCACCCTCCCTTTCTCCCTTGCCCTAGTCCACTCGCTTTGACCCGCTCCTTTCGAGGTCATTGCCCAACCCCTCCCACCCTTCCATTGTTTTGCCTTTCTAGTGTTTCTATTCTGACTTTTTCTTTAAACATTAAATTACGCTAGTAACAAATCATGAAAGTCGTAAAGGAATAAAAGTGATAAAACTTTAATGAGCTAAACTACTGACTCACCGAGTTCTTGGAAGTACTCGACTTGCCTACAAAAATTATTGTTGTGTTAAATTATTAATGGTTTTGGGACTGCTAATGGGGCTTTTATTGCACCATTACCCTAGAAATACATTATAAAAATCCTAAACACCATCTGATAAACCTTTTTAATTGTTATAGGCTGTACAGAACCGAAACTGTACCGAGTAAAATACTTAACCGAACCGACTACAGTACCTACCGACTTTATTTTTGCACCTCAGACCTCTAGTGTGGTACGAAAAAAAAACTTAAAAACTGAGTTTTTATTGCAATCAAAGGGGCAGTATTGATCAATACTGCCCCTTTCTCTACTGCCCTCTCTGACCTGTAATACAAACATTCAATTTCGCATATTTAAATTGTTATTGAATCTATCTAAAAAAAAAAAAAAAAAAAAACAAGAACCATTATAAAGGATCTTTCTAATAACATAATATTTAGAGAATCTAGTTTCTATTTACACTGATGATTATATTTTTCAGATTTTCAAAGCTAATCATCGACTATATTGATCGACTTGGAAACAGAGTAACCTTAGAGAAGATAAAGTGTATGCTGTTCATTGATGTTTTGATCAAGTTTTTCAACTGTCCACAAAATAGATTTAAGAAAAGAGATATTGTAGAAAATATCTGTCCCTTTTCTAACCTCATCGCAAAGAAAATATTTGAAGAATTCACAGAGGATAACAAAGGTGGAAGGTAAGATTATGAAAAGTGTGGTGATTATTGGGCTTTTAGTCTTTCAAGTACTGTGTAGTATTAATCATCCGATCTTTAGTCATCCAACCTTCTGTGTAATCTGACCCTCCCTGTAGGCACGACCCCTTTATTTACTCTTATCTGTAGCCTACTTGGAAGATTTTGTACTAGGGGCTTTAGGTACAGCACTCTCAGTAATCCAGCAGATATAGGGCTGTGATACCGCCGGACAGACTAAGCGAATTTCCATTTGCATGATAGGATTTACATTAAAATGTCTCCTTAAAAATATCACATTTATTCCCTTTAGGATTCCTTCTCATGTTCTAGTTCTTCAATTTTTACTTCATAACTCACTTCAAGAGAATTATTTTTGTTGAAAACCTGATGGGTTAGTTTAGTATTTTCTATAGTCAAATCATGTAGGTCTTGTTTTAATTTATTGTTTTCTGAAAGTAGGACATTACCAACTTCGGCAGCTAAAGTTAGGGATTTTTCTAAGTCTTCCTGTTCTTGGGCTTGAAATTGTTTTATTTTTGCTTGAAGGTCTTCTGAGCTGGTTTTGACTTGACATTCAGAGGTTGTTTCAGTCTTTTGATCAATTAAGGGAACTAAATAAACTAAATATTTTGTTATTTTCTGCTGTGTTGTGCATGTAGGCAGAAAAGGGGTTGAGTCCCTTTGAAGCTTACATTCTTTGCAGCTCAATGATTTGTAAACTGCTTTAATAATTTTCTGAAATCACTGGTTGACATTCCAGTACATTTAGAATGGAACCACTTCTGCAAGGACCTGTGCAAACTATTGCTGAGTACTTAACTCCAAGGTCACACGCACCACATGGAGTCTTAGACATGGTTTGGTTTTTATGGATGGAATGAAATTCACAGTTTTCAGAGTTTGTTTTAGAATATTGTGTTTAATAAATAGATAGTTACTAGAAAAATAGATAGAAAGATAGTTATTGCGTAAAAAACTGTACTAGTTGATTAGTTATGTGAATTAATAATTATGTGAAAAATGAAGTTTTTGTTGGAGGTTTGGCTGGTTCCTCAGGTCAAAATAAACTAAATAAAATGCATACAGTTTTAATTGAGAAACATCCGAGCCATCATTAGTGTACTTTAAAAGTAGTGTTTGCTGAAACCAGAGGGTTTATTTCATGAAAATCATCAATAAGCTAAACGCTTTTGTGACAAATTCCAATGCAAATTATTTAGAAAGAATCATGAAAAATACGGTGATTTATGTATGTAATGAGTGGAATTTATTTCTTGGTAGGCTACTAGACTAACCTTTCTTTAAATAAAAGTAAAACGTCAGCATGAGCATACTTTCTAAAATACTCTCGTATAATGTATTCCTGTATAGCTGAGACAGATAAGACCGATTCAAGCGTTAATTGTTTGCTGTCAAGATTGCAATTGGCTATAACATTATTAATTCAACTGAATACAGCTTTTCATATATTATCATATAATGTAAACTATAAATAAACGGTATCAGCATTCTGACAAATACTTTCTCCCATAAGTTTGTCAACAACCTTTATCATGTGTAAGCGGTGAGAGTAAATATACGGAAATGGGATTTGTACAATTTTGTTCAGAATTTAAAGGACTATAACATACAAAATTTTTATCAAAATCGTTCGGGCCATTTTTGGGAAAATCTGATTTTTCCGTTATTTTATGGGGTTTTTATGGGAAAATAACATAATTTACAATAACTTTTGAACCGTAATTTTTACAGAAATGGGATTTGTACCATTTTGTTCAGAATTAAAATGGCTATAACATACTAAATTTTTATCAAAATCGTTCAGGCCATTTTTTTAGAAAATCCGGTTTTTCCAGTTTTTATGGGAAAATCCCCATTAAAAATCAAAATTTCAAAAAAATGAAAAAAACGCCTGGACCATGGATTAAAAAACCATGGATTAGAACCTACATACCAAATTTCATTAAAATTGGACCACAGGTGTAGTCCCTAGCTCTGTACACATCCAGACACACACACACATACGGGGTTTTACCGCATACTCGCAAACACCTAATTGTGGCATCTTTCAAACTGCGGCCACCAGTAGATGAAGGAAGGTGGTAGAAACATGTGTGCATCGATATTTTTAATGAACACTCCATTTTAACATCTAACATTCCAGTTTTTAATTGTGGCACCTTGCCACAAATCGGTATATATCAACAGTGTGTGGACAGGATGCCACTAATGCGTTGTAGCGCTTGAGCGGTGTGTTCGCCCCCCCCCCCCTACTTCTCGCGTGCGCTGTTGCCAGTTCTCCGTTCTAGTTCCTTCATTCCGTTCTGTATTCATGTGGCTATGCCCTAGCCGCTGTAGCTCATTGCCCACGATCCTCACGTCGTCTTTTATTAGTGTAACGATTTTTTTACATGCAGTTTTTTCCAAGCTCCAATCATTTTGACAATTTAAAGTCAATGGACCAAATGAAATGTCGTGAGGATTACATAAAACTACATGCTATGTCGTTGATATTTTATCGTCACATTGTATGGTTTACGAACTTAGATACTTGGATTAAAGGCCTTAATGTGCTGGGTAAATTATCAGTTTCATGGGAATATACAAGAGATTTACCTTAAAATACGCAATAAGAGTGACTCCGTTTTTTCTGTATGCATATAATTAATTCATGGTAATGTAAAAGTATGTGTAACGAATTTTTCACCACACTATGATGTTTTAGCTGTTTTACATACATTAATTGGTGGCTGAAAGTTATGTTTTTCTGACCATGCCAGCTGTCATCGTCATATAGGGGCCGAGCAGGCGTTTACATCCCTAGGGCCGCAAAATCACTTGTTCGCTTATTTACTTAAAAGATTAATGTATATTAAATGCACAAGCTGTATCCATGGCATTGCAATAGACTTGTTTTTTTGTCACAGCTGCCTAGACAACTATTTGGTGTTATTTTTGATTTTGCTGATTCCTCAAAATATTTCTCATAAATAAGAGGGACGTTTTATTGCAAAACATACTTGGGTAAAAAATAGCGCTCGTACCACGAGCCAAAATGGGTTTGCAGCTCTCGATCGTTTCACATTCTCGAATTGGTCTCGAACTTAAAACCCGATCTCGAGTCGGCAAAACCTCGCTTTCGGCCCTAGGTACGAAATAGTTTTACTATTTTTTACAGTGGATTTAGAGACCCAAAGATTCACATCCCGTTGCGAAGCACGGGCAGAGACACTATAGTTAATTATAAGATTATAAAGTCTTTACTGTTTTGTCTGTACATTGCGTAGATTCATGAAGTGTTTGGTTATTTCTACGTGTTATATAATAAGAAAGCCGAAACGAGTCTTATGTCAATATCTGTACGTTTGTTTGATTGTTTGTGTCATTGTGTCTGTAACGCCAAAATTCTAATTCACGTGTCCTACTTTGAGAAAACTAGAGTACCGTTCATGATCCAAATAGTTTTGTAATTGTTTAAATAAATTTGCCAAGTTTGATCAAAATATATCCATAAACAAGCAAACTACAACATTTTACAATATTCTTTATAAGAATAACATGGGAATTTTAAATTTACAATTTTTGAATTTGTCCTGTTACCAATAACCGTACAAAAACACTTTGATATACTAAATTTTTGTTTTTTAAGCTATTTAAAAAGGTCTGGATATAAATTGGGAAATTTTGTATTTTTAAGGTAACGTTTTTCTCCATTTCATATATTAGTAACAATATGTATAGTATCGAATTCAGTAATAGCATTGACTACAGTATTTAAACCTTAACACAAGTGTTTATAATATAGTCAATGAGGCTACTGGTGCTACCGCTGATGGCTTATGCATGTGTACGTTAGTAGCTAGCAGACAATTTTCCAACTAGGAACATGAAATCAGCTGTTCCCCGTCCTCACTGTCGCGGTTGCTCGCCTAGCATGTCAACAGCTGACTGCTGTAAAAATTGGATGAGGCGACAGTAACTTTTTCTAGTACGCTTCTTTACCATGATATCTGCCAATTCAATTTTGTCCTAAAAAATGTATACACATCTCTAAGATTTGTTGCCAACTGACAAGCAATTCAAATAAAAAAAAAAAAAAAAAAAAAAAAAACTATTGTTTATCATCCCTGCAAAACTGCTAATAATTCATGTTCAAATTTTCATCAGAATTCCGTTAGTTTAAATCAACGATCACACAAGACCAATAGATGGAGCTCGCCTATCTAACTAACATACAAGCAGTTGAAGCCAGGTCCGCCATCTTAGTGCAGGTTAGAAGTGGTAGATGCCAATGAAAACGGTACCAAAACTAAATGTCCAGCTTCAAAATAACTTGACATTTAGCCTATTTAGACTAAATGTAAATCGTTGAAACTTTGTATGAAAGATTTCAATTAGTCTAGGACACTATTGGTTCTAATTAAAAGCTTAAAAGTTTATATTTTCTATTTTAAATCTTGAAATAAAGTCGGTACTTTTAAATGAGTTTCAAAATATGAAATAAAAAAGTTCGTCGGCTGCTACTGTTTTAATTTTTTTGTCAGGTAAGTTAAAAACCAGTGGATTTTTGGCTAAAGAGCTCAATTTCTTGGATCATATTTTTTAAAAATTTTATAAAGGAGAGTTGTGTAAAGAGTTTCAGAAACCATCTGTGACTTTGAAAATACATTGTAAACCAAACGCCAAACCTTTAATACGATATAGATACATATATTATAAATTAATTTGTAGCTTTTGAGAATTTTTCTTTCACCCAAAAAGTTTTTGTTATTAATTATGTAAACTAACTTTTTGTAAGATACGGTAAACGCTAGAAAAAAAATTGAAAGCGTATTTTAAAGGTCATTGTTCAACCGTGATGAAATGTTACATACCAACCTTTAGGGCCTATTGGTGACATTGGGGAGGTGGAAGTCTAAATTTAGTTCATTACAATTACATCAATGACCTTGAGCTCTGCTAGTAAGATGCCGTGGTATGGTGGTGTGTTGCGGAGAAGGGTAAAGGGGATTAATTATTGTTCATGCTTACTCATTCGCTCTTACCCACAAACAAACTTATTTCAAGCCTAAAATGAAGAATGTAGATCTAACTTCTATATTCGTTTGGAAAACGTCAGTCTTAGAGGCAAGATGCCTGCGCGGTCCATCACAAGTTACTGTATTTACTACTTTTTTTAGTAAGCCTATGTGTCGATTATGTATCTTGTACAATGTAAAATCAAGATGACGTTGTTCAGACTAAGATAAGTTTGGACTTCCTTGTGTGACCAAAATAGTCGCCTACAGAGCAACAGGAGAATCTACCATTTCTTATAAAATTAGTTTTATCGACATTTGCAGACAGTTCTATATAATTGTTTTTAAGGAAATCCAAAATCTATTGGCAATCATAAATTAATATGATTTGAATTTTTTGCCTCCTACAAATGAAATACCATGTGCATATGGTCCTCTGGTCCTGTTAATACAATTTTGTGAAGGGTTTCTTTTATAATTTAAAACTATATCATTGCACAAGCATTTTCAAGGACTCTCTGCAGTTTTGCGTACTCTTGCAACTACTAATTCAAAAATTCAAAAATCAGTTTGGTGACCAATTAAAAATAATGTGTTGATACGTTATAAAAATTCAACTATTAAATATCATAGTTTTTGAGGGTGGGACTGGAAATTTATACTATATTATAGATTTGCATTCATAGTAGAACATTATAGACTTTAAGTAAACCAACAGAAAAAAGATTGTTTAGAATTTCCAAGTTCATTTTAGAACAAACTGTTTGCTCCGCCTCCCAGTTAACTGAGAATTTCAAGAAGTAGAAACATATTAAATAAATAATAAGTGAAGTTAAATATAACATATTGTGTTTTTAAAAAACATTACACAAACCTCACGGATGCCAATATATTTCCAACCATACTAGGAATTTCCTTAAATTGATATTGTATGTTGAAATAGGTTTATTATTAATAAAGTTGAGAATACAAAACAAAACATTGAATAATAAAAATACATTTGTATTTACAGTAACAGATAGATTGACAAAATTGTAAAACGATTGTGTAATATCAAACAATATCAAATTATTTACAGTATCACGGTTACAACTTTTAAACTACTCTTGTTATGACTCAAAAGTTAAAGTCTTTAGGACCTTTCATTTTATGCTTTTGTTAGTGGGGACTGGTTAAAAAACCACAGTACAGTAGGTTTTGCAAATATGATTGTGAGATGATATATAATCTGAACTAGTTTATGCTTGTTGATAATAATATATATTTTAATTTAAGTACTTTAATTGATTCGGTTATATGTTTACCTTATATAACATTTGAACATGGATTGAAACATTAGATGTCTTTGGAATACTCTGAGAGTGAGAGGCAAAACATATCTTTCAGCAATGATGCATCGAAATCTACCTTTACTGAGTGATTCAGAAATGTAATTGTAAAATATTTTGTCGACATGACTAGAATGTTAATAAAATAGATGTATCAGCACGAAATTGTTTTTAAGATAAAAAATTGCAGCATAGGACAACTTATATAGTGTTCTAACCTAATATAATATAATAGGTTACGTACCTTATTCCGTCTTCAGTCTTCTAACCTAAAACATTGTTATTGTTTCAATGTAAAAATTCAATTGATACAAAATAACTACGTTACCAATTTATGTTTGTAAACAAAAATATTTTTTTTAATGGTGTCATAAAATCAATTTAAATAATTATTTACTACTCAAAATATTTGTAATGTAAAACATTGTTCACCACTCGGAGCAAAAGTATATTATTTATGGTACTTAAATTGTTTTATAGTACGTGGCAGTACAGTATTATTAGTTTATTAGTTGCTTGTTGCACTGTTCTACACACTGCTCAAGCGCTACAACTCATTAGGTAGCATCCTGCCACACACTGTTGATATATACTGAATTGCAGCATGGTGCCACTATTTAGAGTGTAGGCTGGCGCGAGAATTGGCAACATAGCATTAGGGAAGTTATAGTTCCAGCGGACGGCGCGAGGCGCGCTAGCTACCGGTATGGTTTCGTGTTCCACAATTCGGCATGTACCTGCACTACTTAAACTCACATCAACGAGTTCAAAAATACTCAATTGTGGCATGTGATGTTTAAACGACGTAATAATGCTGGAAAACCCAAAAAATGATCGAATTAGCTGTGGCACCCTGTAAAGGTGCCACAATTTTTGAAGGTGCCACAGTACGGCCGTGTGCCTGTGAAGGATGCCACTATTTGATGAATACAGACACACACACACACAACCACTTTTTTGGGTCCAGGGGGACCCAAAACGAATATATCCACTCAAAACTCAAACTCGAACATTTTGACGAAAACAATACTTTCTCCATATACTATGGTATAGGGGGAGAAAGTAAAAAGTGCATACCAATTTTACAATCTACTCTTCACCATAAGAGTAAAACATTGAGTTGACACCATTGCACTCAAACGTCACCAATATAAAACATTCATCAGCACTTCCTTTATATTTTATAACAATATATGATGTTTAATAATTGCATTACTTAAATAATCAATAATCAATGCTAAAATTACTCGTTTATACAATTATAGCCTATATTTGGATAAACGTCATGTTGACATTTGGTAAATTGAAAACAGCTGATAGAAAATATTTGTTTGAATTCTAATTTACTTCAAATAAAATATAAAAATTTTTAATATTTATTTCACTGCTAAATTAAAGTATGCTAACAATAAATTGCCTCAGTACTTAAGGGATTAAGTTTTGGTGGGATACAGCGATACAGCTAAGTAAAATAATCAGTATTTGATTAGAACTATTTTCCCCATATAGAGTAATCTTCAATGTAATCTTTGCTCAATAGTTACAACTGATTTTTTTTCTCTTTGCACTGTATTTTGTAATTTGCTATTATACTTTGGATGGTTTGTTATGAACACATGTTACAAGTCCTTTGCTTGTCTTTTCCTTATTATTTTGTTCAACGAAAATACTTACTTAGCAACCCACAATGTCAGTGTTAAATTTTTAAATTTTAAAATGAGCTATGTAGTGAAATACAAATTTTCCTGAGGTAGTGGCAGTCGCCAATCATGTTTTTAGGGCTATAAGTCCCTAATTCCAAAATTTAGTTAAAATCTTTCCGCTGGAATTCGAGATATATATTACAGACAGACAGACAAACAAACAGACATTGCTCATATTAGAAAATAGGATAATAATCACCATAAAGATGAACGGATTATAACTGGAGTCACTACTCTCTGGTTACATTTAATGAAAAGGGAGCCTTCAGGATGGCCTCTTGTTGCTGTGTTTTGTTGGACCTGTCAAATTAGAGTCAAGATGATGTCCTCCTGTCGTTGTTAGTCTTAATAAATATGTCAACATTGTGATTGTGATGGTTCAATACTGTGTGCAATATCTATCAGTTTGTGTGAGGAAAACAATAATGAATAATACTCACATAATTAAACTTGCACTGTTATTGTACACCCGATGGCCGTTCTTCAATCAATGCCATATGTAGGCCTACACCAATATCTCCAAACCAGGAAACTTGACTATTTTCATAATAAATTATTAAGAACTTGACAGAGGAAAATAAGTTATTATTTAGTATTAACAATGTAATGATAATTTTTCAAAATTACTTTAATGACACAGGTTTTAACGTGCAATAATTAATTGTTGAAAAGTCCATCAAATAGCCTTAACTAACATGGTTGGAATGATTAGAATTAATTTAAAAGCAGCTATCCAACCATGGCCAACACGATAATAAACAGTGAAAACAGAGGGCTTTCTAAACACAGAGTGGTAATAATAATAATAATGTCGTTATTGCTTTCTAACAATCTTTAAATCTTTAAACAATCTTAAAAGAATCCGATACCTACACAAGAAGGGAGTTTCACAAACGCAGCTGTGTAGTATAGTATTGTACAGCGCTAAAATTGTCCCTTGCATATGGATAGCATTGCCCTAAAGCATTACAAACAGTCACCAATATATAAAGGGAAGTTAGGGTCAAGATTCTCAGCTCCCTGAAAACTGAATCCATTCTCCTCTATAATAATTACAACGTGAATGTAGTGAGTAATGTATTTTTAAGTTTTACTCACAAATCAAGGGTTAAACCATAAGCAATGCATACTTCAGCATCATCTTACAGTTCCAATTGATGAAAATTAATGTCGTTGTTTTATACATTTTCATGTTTTGTTTTCCAGGCTACGAAATGTAACTATGGATGACAAAGTAGTGATTCACATTTTGGTACTCATAATAATCACATGTGAGTTTTCCTGCAATACAGAAGAGCTATCAAGATACTTACCTAGGTTCAGTGTCAAAAAGTAAGTTGTGCATAATTTTGATTATAATACTGCTTGCCATCTTGTATGAACAAATGGGTAGGAAACTAATGTACAGCAAATTACTTGTAGTTTAATTACAGGATGAAGAAAGATAGGAAAAGTATATTAAACAATATGTATTGCTAGTCCAACAATGTGTGTTCAAATTGCTAGTATTAGGCTAGGCATGACAACTTGATATATTTAATTAGGCCTACATGTCTGAAGCAAGTTGTGTGAATTTTTCACTAAGAAAACAAGTTGAAATATAAAAAAAACAACAGTCATTTGATTGATTTTCATCTAACTGAAATATCAATGTCAATGATAATTGTTAAAAATATTAAAGACAGACAAGACAAAAATTAATAGGACTTGACAAAAGATGTGTATTTATATTGGATACTGTTTACAAAATTCATAATAATAAAATAAAACATATGTTAGTTCAAAAAAGGTAGTTTTAACATAAGAAAGAATGCAGGCATAGATTATTACATTCTCTCCCCCCCAAGAACTAACCATTCGAAAATTATTTTCTTTTTCCTTTTCATTAGTTTTTTCTTTGGAGCAATAGTAAATTTTGGCCGAGGCTTGCGAAGGCTAACTTTGGCACTCACCAGTTCTTTAGTGAATTTCACTTTGAGCATACGTTTTCTTCTTTGTTGTTTGATTTCTTTGAATATTTCAGAATACTTCTTATTCCTCTGGTTATCACTGCTGGACTTGTTGTGGTACTGTGAGATGTCAAAGCTCTCGTCACTGACCAGGTTAATTGAATCGTCCACTAGTGACATTCTCCTGACAGTGTCGTCTCTGGAGGTTTCCACAGGTGACAAGATGGGATTGTCCTCCACGCTGTCTCCTAGCACCTCCGCCATCGGCTCTTCAAGACACCATTGTGGCGTCGTAGGTTCCTCTGAGCGACTACAGTCGTGTTTAAACAAGGCCATCAGGCATGGGAACACGCAAACACACTGAGCACACTTGTTTGTTTGCTTGCCATCGTTAATTCTCCTCAAAGTCTTGTCTCTGGAGATTTCCACAGGTGACAAGATAGGTATGTCCTTCACGCTGTCTCCTAGCGGCTCCGCCACCGGCTTCTCAAGACACAATTGTGGCATCGTAGGTTCCTCTAAGCAACTACAGTTGTGTTCAAACAAGGCCATCAGGCATGGGAACACACAGCCACACTGAGCACACTTGTTTGTTTGCTGGTCATTGTTATTCTTGTGCTCTTTCCAGTTCACATATTTCTTCTTGTGTCTGTAGAATGGGGTATTGTCAAACTGTATGTCACATCCGTTACAAATTATCAACTCTGAGTCGTTCTCCGTTTTCTTCACATTCCATAGAGGTTTGGCTTTAATTTGTTTTTCTTTTGTTTTCACTTTCTTCCTTTTGTCAGTTATCGCAAAGATCTTGTTCTTGATTTTGACACTAGATTCCAGCATGGCTTCCTTCAAGACTTCAAGTATTTTGGAATTTTCTATCGGCTCATCGTCAACTAGACCTATCTCATCTCATTTTCTTTATCAGGCTCTTCCGTTTTCTCTCCAACCACTCGGACTCTCTGGACACTGGTGAGAATGTCAGAATGTTTCTCAGAGTCTTGAATCATATTCTTAGCCTCCAGGGGTTGGCATTCCTTCTCTAACGCTTTTTCTTTTATTGGATCCCTGTTTAAATGTGCTGTTTTGATTTTCATATCTTTGTTTCGAGTCCTTTCCTCTTGGGATATGTTTTCTGCACCATATTTGTCAATCTCAAATGATTCCTCTGCTGTTTTGTACAATTTATCATATTTAAATCATGTCAGAGCAAAGTTGTCATCGATACGTCCTCCACTGTATTCTGGACATTTTCCATGCAACGACCAGCCTAAGTAACTCCAGGATAAAACTGGCGAGTTAGGAGGCCCTTCCACAACTTTCCTTGTCAATATTAGGTTGCAATTATCTTGAAAAAATCAAGATGGTAGGTTTGGCATGAGATGTTGGTAGAGGTTGGTCGATTGAATTTAAATGAGACCATGTCTCACGAAGCTTTACTGAATCAATCGACTGTTGGGGTAAACCATCTAAGGGAAGTTCTAAGGGAAATTGAGTTCTTACATTAGTCAATGTGAAAACTTCATCTTCATAGAGCCCTTTTATTTTAAGCTCAACTCGTCTGGACGTTGGGTCAAAATGTTTAGTTGCACTTGACCAACAAGTGGTAAGGGGTTCAATGCTACCACTGACGCCTAATTTATCGGCAGTAGTCGAATCTAGCAGAGATATGGTTGAACCGTCATCTAAAAGAGCATATGTGTCGATCTGACAGCTATGGTCCAAGACAAAAATTATATTCTGTAGAAATAAAGCGGAAAAAGTGCAAAAAAAATACCTTCTATAACAAAGGAAAAAGTCTACATAGGCAGGGCCTGTGCGTAATTTTGGCCTAAACAGGAAGTGGTTGGTACCATTGGAAAGAACTTGAGTTGTTCTTTATTTTCGTATAGAGAACTTTGTCATACGACGTCAGGAAGTCTGAAAAATATTGTTTTGTCATTTGGATATTTTGCCCATGATTTTGAGTGATGAGAGTCATACCTATTTGAATCTAAGAAAATGTTCTATCTCTATGTTTTGGTGCCTTTCAGTATTGAGATTCAGGTGACACATTAGTTGTAACTGCAAAAACAAGTTGTTTGCATTCTGCTCACCGGAATCTAAATAAGGTTACAGTGCGGCTACATTATTATCTGTACTAATTTTCATCAAAGGTTAGTGTTTTAGTGTAAAAGAAGTGTATTGTCAGGTGGTGTATGAGTTTTAGTAGTAGTATTTATCCATATTACGCTGGGTAAGTATTATTTTTAAAACGTTTTTATTAGCTCGCTTTCTTGTCCGGTACAGATTTTGCAATCGATTTTATACTAAGTTCCTGATGAGCCAGAGACTTGAAACTTGAAACATAGCTCACAAATGGATGACAATGCAATATAATATAATTTAATTTTCATATTTCCCTTGGGCTACGCCCCATGGGCTTGTTTTTATTAACTCGCTTTCTTGCAAATTTGGATACTTCCCGATGAGCTAGAGACTTGAAACTTGAAACATAGCTCACAAATGGATGACAATGCAATATTATATCATTTAATTTTAATATTTCCCACGGGATACGCCCCATGGGCTTCCACATTTTCCATGTTTACATTTTGAAAGAATGTAAACATATCAATTAATTTAAGTCAGCTGTAAATACTTAAATTTGACAGTTCGAAGAGCAGAGGTTAAGAGGTACAGGTTCTGCTCCAGATATATTCTAAAAATATAAAACGAGCATTTTAAAGTAAAGATAAAACATCTGATTAGAGATAATAAGGTTTTGGTTTGTTGTATTAATAGTCAAAGGTTATACATATTAACAGGCCATATAAAATATATTTAACATATTTACACATTAAAGACTAAAAAGTTGAAAATAATTTATAAATAAAAAAACTTTTTTAAAACAAAACGTTTTTAAACGCACTAAAAAGTAGAAAATAATTTATAAATATGTTGAGAGTATAAATACTTGTAAGATTTAAAACGAAAAACGTGGGGTGCATGCAATTAATTGATAATAATACATTAGTTCAATAGGTGAAGGTAATTGTAAATGATCTATTGCATACACCCCACGTTTTTCGTTTTAAATCTTACAAGTATTTATACTCTCAACATATTTATAAATTATTTTCTACTTTTTAGTGCGTTTAAAAACATTTTGTTTTAAAAAAGTTTTTTATTTATAAATTATTTATGTCCAAATTTGTGTTATTGAAGTAGTGGTTGTTTAGGAGTTATGCCTATTAGTCTAGGCCTAAATAAGCCTAGGCTACAATGGTATGAATGTGTGTCTCACGCCAGAATAATGCTTCTAGAACCTTTATTTGTTTATATTTCTTTATATATATATATGTATGTACATTTTCGTGTTCAGAAATATATTTCCTATAAACACATGTCATATTTATCATATTATAATAAAGTACATCAAGTCATATAAAGTTATAAAAAAGTTATAATTTTGTACAATATGACATTATTCTGAATAAATGTGTTGTTACCTTTAGTAATATAACAACTTTTGTATATAAATTGTATACTTCTGATTATATTTTTATGTTTCAAATGTTCAGCGCAAATTTTGTGGGTTTCCCCAATTTCGGTATTTTCCAACTGTAATTCTGGTAAAAAATCATTAGAAACAAATCAATCACATTTCCACATAGAGAATTGCGTACATTTCATATATCTTAGATTGCCTGTAAAAAATTTCGTGTAAAAATGCTAGGCCTCTGCTTTTGAAAATTATTCCAAAAATTTGAAAATCTTTTTCACGTTTTGCAAAAAAACAACCTATAGGGATTCCTAATATTTTATTTTATTCAAAATCTCCTTTCTTTTCTGAACAAAACAAGTATGAATATGACTAGGTTATCAACAGCACTTTGGGCACTGCAAACTGTTAAAAAAAACCACTGCAAAATGGCCAAAATTGATAGGGCACCGAGCAATTCTGCATTAAACAGGCCAGGTCAGTCCTAGAAATAATAAAAATAAATACCCCCGCCGCAGCAAACCTGCGGATCCATTTGCCTGATTGGATTTACACTTAAAAAAAAATTTCTCCTTAAAAATATCACATTTATTCCCTATTTAAATAGCGTTAGTTTAACGAGTACTTAGATTTGCTGCAACAGGGAGGGTAAAAGGTTTTTTTGTAAAATGTTAATAGTTTAGTATGAAATTACTGCATTTTCCAAATTTGATCAAAATATGTCCATAAACAAGCAAACGACAACAGTTTATTTATTCTCCATAAGAATAACATAGGAATTTTAAATTTACAGTTTTTTGAATTTTCTCCGTAACCATTAGGCGCATGATAACGCTTCAATATACTAAATTATTTGGTTTTTTAAGCTCTACAAAATATGGAAATAAATTGCTAAATTTTTAGTTTTTAAGGTCAAAAATGGGAAAAACCAATTTTTACCCCATAAAACCCCCCATAGACCCCTGTTCCCATAGTCTGATCATGCTGGTTCGCGAACTCGTTCGAATAAACGTAGGTTTACAAGTTTGTACCAAATTTCACCAAAATCGGATGATTTTTGCTCGAGTTATCGCGCTAACGGACACATATATAAATAAAATATATATATATGATTTTGAACGGATGGTGTTTTTGGTCTCTAGGGAGCTCAAAACGAAAAAGTAAATCGGTCCCGGGTCCAGGTCTTACCATGAGTACTACGGTAATAGCTTATTCCCTATAGGGGAAATTCGCTAAAATGGTTGCCATTTTGAAATTTCTAATCGGAACAACTTTATTATTTTTTCTATAATAGGTATTGTGTTACCTTAACATGCTTTCCAAGTTTCACAATCATCGGTTTAACAACTTTACAGATAAAAATATTTTTTGGTGGCGGTTATCTTGGTAAAATGCATTTTCGGACATACCTTCACATAACCGTAGCCAACTTGACCTTCCATCCCATCGGCTCAGTAAGACAGCAAACAGTTTCCCCACTATGGCCATAAAGCTGTACAATAGTCTCAGTGCTGAGATCAGAGGCCTGCCAGTGAAAGCGTTTGTTGCGCACATGTCTAGGGAGTTGAAGACTAGGCCCCTCTACTCCATCAGGGAATTTTTTGAAACCCCTGACTCAGTTTGGACATCATGATCCACCGCCTTGTATATAGTGTATATAGTGTATATAGACAAAGTTTTAGAGTTTTAATTTTTTCATTTGACGCAATCTATCCAGCTATGGCTGGGCAACGATGAAGAACCGGTAAAGGTAAAGGTAAACTTTTTTCTTCCTTTTAAAATGGGGATTCATTTCCCAAAGTCCTGAAACGTTTTTTTATGGAACCCTGTATAATGGATATTCTTGTGACTAGGGCTACTTTATATACAGGGTGTCCCGGAACTCTCTACCAATATTTTAGGGCATTGTTCCTGGGTAAGAAACATATCTAAATATCATATTTAAATTGTCCGGAAGTCCTTATTTACTCAGATAGCCGCCATTTTGTTTTTTTCACTTATTAATTTTTTTCTGAAAATTGGTTAAACATACGAAGTTGAAACTTTGCACAAACATTTATGACAACTAGACAAAGCTACAAAAAAATTATGACGATTTTTCAAATTCATAAAACAAAATGGCGGCTGTTTAAAATTTTGTTTCTTAAATTACTCGAAAACCGTTGATTTTACAAAAATTTTACAAGAATAACTTTTTTAAGGCAATTTTATTACAAATCGATCGACACCTTAATCTTTAAGATCGGACGAGTATTAACTGAGATATGGCAGTTTTAGTGATACGTGACCGCCGGATATTAGTTGCAGCGCATGCTGAAAGCGGTCACGTATCACTAAAACTGCCATATCTCAGAATTTTTCCAATATGGCCGCCAACTTTGATTTTTCTTATGAAACACCCTGTATTTTATGATGTATTCCGGTAGATAATTTATTTTTAAGACGTTTCTATTCTTGTGCTTTTTTCCAAAAACCTGACTGTTTTACTATAGTACCTATTAGTAATAATTGTTACACTAAACAATAATGACTAATAAAAATCACCTAATCTTTAGGAATTACTGAAATCAGCTGTTCAACAATGTACACTGTCTAATTCAAATCTATGTGTCATGGGAATGTCAACATGATTATACACGTTAGTTTATTTGTGCTATTTTGCCATATTAAAGTAAGTTGTGTTTGACTACTGATTTTACAGAAGAAGAAGAAACCTTAATCTTAGCAAATGTTGAATCAAATCCAAAAATCAGTATAAGACAAATATCTTTGATGTTGGCAATTCTATATTATCGAGTGCAAAAGGTTTTGAAAAAACATAAGTACCACGATTACAAGTACACTCCAGTTCAAACCTTGCAAGTTGGTGATGAGGGTCGCAGATTTGTGTTTTGCGAATGGCTGTTAAGTAAGGCTGAGGGTTTAAACTCTTTCTATGCTAATATTATTTGGACAGACGAAGCCAACTTCTCCAATAGGGGCATGTTCAACCGGAAAAATAATCACTACTGGACCTAAGAAAATCCATTAAATTTAGTGGAAACTTGTCCTCAACAAAGATTTTCAATTAACTGTTGGTGTGCCCTACTTCTAGCGATTCGATTTTATGACGGGACTTTAAATGGCGCTCGGTACATTGAGTTCCTGTCAGAGGCCCTAGCAGATTGCTTAGAGGATTTTTCTCTTGCACGGAGACAAATGCTGTATTTTCAGCAAGACGGGGCCCCCTCCTCATAACACTGGTGAAGTGGCGGACTTGTTACAATTCAACTTTCAATTTGTATGGAGAAAGTTGATGTCACCATAAGAACAATCCCACGAAATATGATACGAAACGCAACAAAGAGTGTTTTTAACAGAGCTCGCATTTGTCTGGGACAAAATGGGTTTCATTTTGAACACCTGATGTAGGATCTAATAGCATTAAGGCTAAACAGAAGACACTTAAATTGTAAATATCTGTAAATAAATCTGTAAAAAATCTGTTTAAAGTTTATGTAAAGGTTGACTTATGCTATAATTACATTTCTTTGCTGAAACCGTCTTTTTATTTTTTGCACGTATTGAAACTATTATCATCTCTAAAACGGTTAGGTTTATGGAGAGAAACACAAGAGTAAAATCGTCTTAAAATTACATTTTCTACCGGAATACATCATAAAATACAGGGTGTTTCATAAGAAAAATCAAAGTTGGCGGCCATATTGGAAAAATGGCGGCTAAAATATTTTTTTCGACTTGACTACAATTTTTTTTATAAAAAATTAAAGGTACTTACCATTTAACTTTTTTTATATCTCTTAGGCCCGGTTTCCCCAAAATGGTGTAAACTACGTTTATAATAAACTAGTTTATTTTTAAACTACGTTTAAAATGTGTGTTCGGTTTCTCCAACATTGTACTGGCTTCGTTTAAGATAAACGGCAATTTGGAGTGGTTGGCAATCCTGAATGTGTATTTGTAAGGAACCTTCGGTGGGCTTTGGGCTAGTGTTTCCTACAACCTCCACAAAGCTACGCTACCTACAACTCAGTAAAGCAGACAGCAAAGTGCGAATACAGCTAGAATAACACCACTGTTTTAGGTTATGTTATCAAAGTTATTGTCACACTCAGATTCATTCCATTTATTGAAATGGTCAATTTTGTCCCTTATTTAGTAGACCCTCTTGTTCTAGGTACTAAAGTGTCATAATCTTAATTTTCTACTTCTTCGAAAATGTCTATTAACTCTTCCGTTTGAATTAAGGGGCAAATACTGCAATTAATAGTAGCCTAACTTGAAATAAAATCAAATGTACAAAAAATGAACTTAATAGAAACAATAAATTAAAATATAAATAAAACTTAACTTATAAGTTTAAGCTAGTCCGAAACCAAGCCTATTTTCGTCCAAATGAATTTGTAGTTGCTTCAATTATTATTGTTTGAACACCTACTTTTTGTTTTGATTTGAGGTTATGTTACTGTTGTAATTTACTACTTTGAACTCAGTTTATTTAGAATCCTACTAAATCCCATCTATTTTCTGACAAAAAAACAAAACAAAATCAAATTGACCACCAAACTAAAATAATATCCTCTACAATTCCAAGTCAATACTAACAAAAACTCACCAAACTCTAAATGAAAACCACAGAATCGTCAAATAAATAAGTGCACAACGAGGCTGCATATAATATAAGCCTGCTTTCAAGCAAATAAGATAAAAAAACAAAAAAAAAACTCAGTTTATTTTATCCCCAGTAGTTAAACCAAGTGGAGAGGTGGTTTAGTTTGAACTTAGATTAATACCTAGTTTAAATTTGGGGAAACACAAATCAAAGTTAAACTACATTTAAATCGCCGTTTAACTTAAAACTAAGTTTAAATGAGTTGGGGAAACCCGGCCCTATAGTTTTCGAATAAAACAGCTGGCACGCTTACAATGAACATTTTTCTCATGCTGAAATTTCACAACTTTAACCATTATTATCTTTGAAACGGTTAGGTTTATGAAAAAAATCACAAGAATAAAATCGTCTTAAAATTACATTTTATACCGGAATACATCATAAAATACAGGGTGTTCCATAAGAAAAATCAAAGTTGGCGGCCATATTGGAAAAATGGCGGCTAAAATAATTTTTTCGACTTGACTACAATTTTTTTAATAAAAAATCCAAGGCACATACCATTTAACTTTTTTTGATATCTCTTATAGTTTTCGAATAAAACGGCTGGCACACTTATATCAATCACCCTGTATTGAGTCCTGTACGGGATTAATGTTTTCTATACGACAACAGATAAATCAATAAGATTTGGTACATCAACACCACACCTAAAAATCTACTTTTTTTAAGGAACTATCAATTTTCTGTTATATCATATGGACAAGGAGTGCATAGTTAATAGCAGAATACAATGCCACAAATTTGAAATCAACCTAACAAACCAGCCTATGCTCCTATTTAAGATTTCATTCTGACTACTTTTTTTTAAATAGGAGCATAGTTAATAGCAGAATACAATGCCACAAATTTGAACTCAACCTAACAAACCAACCTATGCTCCTATTCAAGATTTCATTCTGACTCCTTGCGGGAGCTCTCTTTGCCATAAGGTGAATCTCTACATGAGTAATTCATTAATTGACTTTGACCACTTTGCGTTGCAACCGTCAATTTATTGGAGTACTTATAAATTTTTTATTGAAGACTTTATGGTTTCCCAAAAGTTATTGGAAATGTCAACCTAATCTTTTGTGTTCAGTTGTTAAAACCAATGTTTTTGTTTACAGGATAAGGGAGATTGCTCGTGCCTTAAGTCTGACAACCAAAGACAAAATAACTTGGTTCCTCAAACTGCCTTTGCCACCTCAGAGATCGGTCTTTATGAGAAGAAGGAAAAATTAATATTTTAAACTTTATGTTTTAAAGTTGAATTAAAGTTGTTTTAAGTTGTAAGAAATAACCTTATTGGGCTACAATCCTATTTTAAAACTTTAAACATCCTCTTCCTCGAACCCATTATCACCCCTACTGAGAGTCTGAATATGTTTGGGGAAGGGGTTACTTATGCCACTTTTTGTTTGTACATGATGATTTTCTTAAGATCCAGATTATAAAGTTACTAAAAAATCCATTCAGGTCGATTAACACACATCACTTACAGTCACTTGCAGTCAAGTTGCAGCCCCAGTCACTTCAGTCACGTCGCAGTTAACAAAAATATTCTTTAATGGATTTTCTATTGCGCTATCTACACTCATCCGTTGCAGTCCCGTCAGTCGCTCTGCCTGCATTGGTCAGTCAAATTCAGATTCCTTTTCACCGATATTTTTGGATTGTTCGGACGCCTGATGGACGTATTTGAGGTAAAAATATAGTACTTATTTTATTTAAATGATTGAGTTTATATTTTAAGTAATGTTTTTATTAATCAACAAGACGGGCGATGAAAATTTGATAGAATTTGTGTTTTCATTATACATTTTTGACTGTAAATAAAGTGACGGAAGAGTGACTGAAACCAAATGACTGACAGTTTGACTGAGAAATTGCGGATGCAACTGTAACTGGGCTGTAACAGAACTGTGACTGGACTGATATGTGTGAATCGACCTTTACATTCACCTTCAGTCAAGTTTGAAAATACATTTTTCACCTGTATTTTCATTTTGTTGGTTTCTCAAATTGGCGGTAGTAGACTCCAATTCAGTCAGTTAAGAATTTTGCTTCCTGCTCGGTCTCACTTGAGTTATGTTTTTAATTTTTTTGTGATTGAGAGATTCAAGAATCAAGATACAGTATTTATTTACCATAAAGTAATACAAGTATTGCAATATACATTGTCAAAACTGAATTTAAGTGGCTAGTAAAATATAACAATCTTTTAGGCAGACCTGAAATTATTTTTTCTAAAATTTACATTAGATTTCAATACAGAATACTTATTCAGTAATAAAATATGTATACATCAATATATATACAGTAGAGTCCCGTTAGTCCGAAATGGTTGGGACCGGGCCCATTTCCGATTACCGAATATTTCGGATTAAACTTTTTTGTTTTTTTTATTTTTTTTAAATTCTAGAGAAAAAAAATTTAAATTTTTTTTTGTCTTAGGACGCAGGCACGAGCCCGGGATTGTTTTTCACATTACTTAAGGCTAGACCTAGTGGCTGCAGCATTATCACTTAAGGTGGTGCGGGCCGTGTTGTAGGCAAGTGAAATCCGCCAGGCCGCAGCACCAGTATCGCCCGCCCGCCGTTGCATGTGTGTGAATCGATGGCTCCTTGGGTGCGTGCGGGATGAGACAGAGAGGGAGCGAGTCGCTTTCTCTCTCTTTCCTTGCCTGCTGAGATAGTTCCTACGCTCATTGGGACTGTTCCCATTGCGAGTACAAGATTAAAAATCTGCGACCTTAGTGCGCTTATGAAGCTTTGTTTTTTAATAATATAGTAATATAATTAACACCCATTCATAAATTTGTTTACCTTAGTTTTCAATCCAAGAAGAAGAAGAAGAAATTTATTAATTTACCATGTTTTAACAGTAGTTAGGCCTACATATAATGTAATTCCAACAAGATGCAAGAGAGTTTTGTCGTAGTTTTTTATCTGTAAATAATCAACCTAAATCTATAAATAATGTTATGATCACCCCAGGTAAAGAAGGAGGAAGACCGTTATGATAGTATTAAAATAATTTACTGAAGAAATTTACAAAAATGCATAGACTCCGATAATTTGTCGTTTTACATTTTTTTGTTTTGAGATATACAAGAAACTACAATTTATTTTACATGTTATATAATTTACATTAAATCGCAAATATAATTGTGGCAAACAAAGTTGTGTACATCATTTAATGGACGTCTGGCATCAAACTCAATAGAATACAAAACACAATAATGTACAATGCAATAACAAAATTCAATCCAATAAAAAAAATAATTATACATACTTAACCAATATGTACACACTAAACAAACTATATACATTTTGCAAAACAATACACTTGTTATAATAATTTTTGCTGTCCCAGCTGAGCGTCTGCATGGCGTTTTTTTTTTTTTTGCAGTTTTTGCTGCGCTTCTTGTATATGTAGAGGGTCCCTTATTCGCATTCCTCGAATGAGCCTGTTCAGTTCTTTTAGATAATTTTTCCTACTAGCCTTCAATTTAATATTAAAAAACAACAGCTGATCATTGTAAATCTGAAATTCATAATATTGTAAAAATAAACTTTCCTTTCTGTTCTTCTTATAAACATGGTTTACTATTTTTTTCTCTCTTAATATTTCATTAATAATCACAAACACTCCACATTATTTAATGGTCCTTCGAGCCGGATATTACTTAAGCGATTTGGAATTACTTTCTTCCACTAAAACTCTTCATACATCAATATTTCCTCATTTTACCCATTGTTTTCTGTGTCTCTGAACTCTTACCCATTTGAACTCTTATTTCCACATTGGAACTCTTAGCCCACTCATTTAAACTTTGTGAATTTTTTACATTTATCTCATCATCTTTGTACAATGGCATCTCCAAATAGTGATTTTAAGATTGAGACTTATACACGACTCGCATCTTTTATTAAAGTTCGTATGAACAAAATAAAAAACATCATAGATTAACTTGTTGAACAAGAAGAAACATTAACATTTGTGCAACAAGAAACCTTAAAGACTCTTATGCAAGAAATCCAGAAGAAGAAAGAAGACTTTGATTCTTATTTTTATGGAATTGTAAGTACATCAAGTGAAGATGATTTGAACATTGAAACTTTAGCTGAAGATGAAGACCAAATCAGTGAACTATTCATCCACATCACCAGCTACATTAAAGTGCTGCTTTCAAAAATTGGTTCTAACCCTTATTTGGCCAAGGTTAATTGCAGTTCAGCTCAACCTCATAGAACTACTGCAGTGCATGTAATCAAACCGAACTCATCAAGTCAGTTTCAAATCAAAGGCAACGACATTATACAACCTGGAACAAAACTCATCACAATAAAGAGGCCAGTGACAATCACAATACCTAAGTTCGCAAACACGATGATTAGAAGTACCACAAAGACAGTGTTATAAGCACATTTGCTTTCTTGATTTAACTTGATCATGTAGTGTACCTTCTTTTACAGAGTACAAGCATTTCACTTCTATAAGGCCTTCATTTTCAATAGGGCCATTGGGGCTAGCTCCAAGAAAAGGATTTTGAATATCTATAAATAAACCACATTTTTGTACTTTAATGGAAGTTTTCTCTTCATACATTGTTATTACGTTGTCTTCATTGTCCCTTCCAAAACTTACGGCATTATTCAACAAAGGTCTTTGGAAAAGAACCGTTTTCATCAAATTGTGACAGGGGGTGTGAGGAAGGCGTTTTGCAACTGCCCCGAACTTTGAGGCCGTAAGACGATTCATCCTTTTTTCTTTCCATAACCGGTTGTTGTGTTGGCCTACTGTGGCTCTTTCCAGTGCAGAATTTCCATTCTCCACATCCTTATTTAGCTCCGTAATAAACTCTTCACATTTTTTAACTATTTCTTCTTCATCAATATCTGCTTTGACAGCAAGCGGCCCGTACTCTGTGTCAAGACCTCCTCCAACCCGCCGTTTCCTTTTGGGGGGGTTGTTTGCAAAATTCATCTTTCTTTTATAGTTCCTTTTTTCTCTTTGAAGGATTTTTCTTTTAAAAATGAATCCTGGACTTCGGCTTTTGAATTTTTTCCAAGGACTGAGGTGCCAAGATGGCCCGGCAGCATGTGCTAAGCCTGCACCCAAGCATCTTCTTTTGAACGAGCCCCCAGTGGAGAAGTTAATTCTTTTCCCCCCAGTAAATTTTGCTACGCAGCCCATAAATCGTTCGGCAATGTTTGTGGTTTCATTATGGATTAATGTTGCCACTTTCCCTTCTAAATTGCCAACGGGAGCCCTGATCTTGCAAATAAAATCTTTGTCCATTTCATCCAGCACGTTCTCTTCTTCAATTGACTTTCTTTTACAGAAATCGCTGCATTTCTCATGACGACCAAAAACATGATCTGGAGCATTCCTGAGCTCTTGGCGAAGCTTTTCCATGTCTTTGGAGTTGGAATTGTTTATTGCGGTTCTGTAATATTACATGTCATTCATTCATCATTAACATTAATTTCTCTATTATTTTGTATATTTTCTCCCATAATGTCTGTTAATGCCCCTGATAATGTGTTATCAGTTATTTAATATGTTTCTCCTTGTTATATGTGTTATTTTATCCAATTTTGTTCAATGTTATATAATATCCCATCACCCCACAGAAACATCATCCTATTTTATGTTACAATATAATATCAAAGATTACATATGCTAACGCAAAATGTAATCTTTGGTATTACTTTTCAAAATTATCCAAAGAAAATCAAAATTACTGTGGCAAGTGTCATTTATGTGAATTAACCAGCTGTACATCATTTCAACAATGGACATGGACTTCCTGAGCTTCTACCATTGCCTCTCCCCAGATCCTGCCAACTCTTCACAGTGTGAACATCATTTTATTAGACATTGTGTTTGATTTAATTTAAATTCATAATCCCAAAGTATAATCTAAATTTTAAATTTCTTATCATCCAAAAGTATTCGGGACAATTGCCTTGACAAGTACCAAATTTTAACGAACCCTTATTTTATTTATTACATAATGATACAAAGGTGAAGACAGACACTCCAAATTTCGTAACCATCATCCATCTTGTTTAAATAACCAAGGAAAAATCTTCATTGCACATTTTAATCAGCAGCCTAATAGGCCCAATTAATTTAACTCATCAAGATATATTTCAAATTGAACTTTTATTTGAAATTTAATCTTCAAATCTTATTTTATTTCATTAAATTCAGTGAAACCATTTGGAATCTTTCTTTGGACATTAACATATCATATTATAGCATCATGAACCTAGCCTATTTCAG